AAAGCACGGATTCTGGAGGGAGACTAGCTGGGCGTGAATTCTGTCTGGCACTTATTAACCGTATGTCCCTAGGCAAGCTACCTCTTTGTGCCTCAGTTGTTTAATCTGTAAAATGGAGAAACTGACAGTACCTATGTTGTAGGTTTATTGTCACAATTGTGTATTAACATGTGAAAAGCATTTGGGACATAAATTGGTACATGGTAAGCACTCAAAAAGTGTTAGTTACTGTTATAGATGAATATGCTAGGTTAACATGGACACTTGAATTGAAAAATCAACAAAAACGTATTGAGTACGTACTAGATATACTAAGCTGGCCTCACACTATGTAGTTTGCCCCTCAATCTTGTTTGTTTCCCTCTTGCTTATGGATTTAGTAGGCCAAGGATGAAGCCTAGGCTGACCCATTCCCTAAGATGAGTAAATTGCTTGGAACTGTGATGTCAAATACGACAACGACTAGCCACACGTGGCTATTAAAATTAAAATTTATATTAATTGACATGGAATAAAATTTAAAAATTCAGTTCCTCAGTCACACTAGCCATGTTTCGAGTGCTCAATAGCCACATTTGGCTGGTGTCTACCATACTGAATGCTGCAGATACAGAATATTTCCTATTTTGCAGAAAGTTCTATTGCCTAGTGCCGATGGAGAGTTTGGTAGTGTTATCTCTTTTGCTCCGTCTTAACATATAGCAAATATAAACACCTTCTAACTTACCATTGAGATGCATTCTGCAAGTTCATTTGCAAATTGGTGGGAACTTTGAATAAAACTCCCTATGGACCAATTATATTAAGATTGTGGCAACATAAGGCATTTGAAGAGACAAACGACTAACAAACATAAGAAAATGTTCAAGCTTATTAGAAATGGAAATTATAACAATGAGCTTAGTTTTGATTATCCAACTGGAAAGATTAAAATAGTGGTCAGGTACAATGCTGTTAAGTGTGTATTGAGGCAAATTCTTGTGGCTCTTTGGTCAAACTTATCTGTAAAACAATTTGGCAATACATATTAAAAGTCCTAAAATTGTTTGCACTCTTTAGCCCTGTAATTCCCCTTCTAGGACTTTAATATAAGAAGATAATCAGAGATGCCTCTAAGATTCAGTACAAAGGTGCCCATGACAGCATTAAGTATAGTAACGCTTAGAAACAACCCAAATGTCTTACAACAGGGACAGGGTTAGGTCAATTATGACTTTGATATATTGGAACACTGTATATCCATTAAAATGTTTTTTGTAGCATGTTTTACAATGTAGGAAATACGTAGAAATAAATGAAAAAATGATATTTAATACTGCCTAATATAATTAAATAACTACAATATCCTTAGGACACACTTGAAAAGAAACTAAAATATTAATAGTGGTAATCTAAGTTTTATGAGATGGTGTGTGATTTCTTTTGTATATTCTTTATGCTTTCAAGTTGTTTACAGTGTGCATGTATTCCTTCTATCATCAAGAAAAAAAAGAGTATATCAAAACTATTTCCTACAGATTGTTGATAGTGAATCCTGATTTGCTAAGGCTTACTAGTTGGCCCGATGTAATTATCAAGAGTCCCCTTTTTAATTCTCAAAAGTATCCCAGTTCATGTGATAAATAATACGGTCACCATAAGAATAAGTGATTCTTTATTGAAGTAGGGAAGATATACATCATCTCACCTGCTTCTTTTCATATTGGCTTAGCTCAGTACATTCAATATTTCCCCAGGCCGATCATATCAACAGTATTTCTTTGGCTCTGATGGTTGGTCTCTCAGAGAAACTCTAGCTCTAATCTCCCCATACAGTTAACTCACTGACAATCTATTACTAGGAGTCTAGAGATAGCTCACATTTGCTCAAAGACAGTTCTCTTTGCCCTTTTAATTATTGCAGTAAGTTGTATTAGTGAGAAAATAATGGATGCCCCTCTCTACTGAACCAATTCCAGGCACCTCTCTACTCACCTGTCCCTGCGGAATAAATATACTGTTTTCCCTACTGATATCAGGGCTGGCCACGACACTGGCACTGACCAGTGAAAGGTGAATGGGAGTGAAAGTGATGCTATCACTTTAGAACAGAAGTTTTAAGCACCAGCGCCTTGCTCTTCTTTCTCACTTTCATTCTGCCCCAAGAACAGAACGTTCCACATAGAAGATGCCCCTTCAGCTGTGGTCCTCGAATGAAGAGGCTGTGGAACAAAGCCACCCCAAACCTCAAAGCAAGACAGAGACTTTTTTGAGTAAGCCACTGTGATTTTGGGATTATTTGGCAATACAGCATAACCTAGCCTAAAGTGAATGATAGTTTTCGGTATTTTTCATTTTCTTTCTCTTCTATACCGGCTCTCTCTCGTGGTCAGCCTCTGATGCCATGAAAGGCACATATGGTTTTGAAAAGCCATTGATATGCTGGATCAGCTGATGCTGCAACACTGGAAATTGCTATAACAATGCAAATGTCTTGCCTCATATCTTCTGAGCCTGAAGCAGTGCTGTTGTAAAAGCTGAGCTGTAGTGGATGCATGCTGTTTTTGTCTGATGTGCCTCCTCCCTCCTTTGCGAAGTGGCCTTCCTTTCCTTCAATCATGTTGTTCTGTTGGAGGTGCCACTCATGGATTCCTGCCTCCTCACACGGGAGTCAACACGTGACCTATGCCCACTCATTCACGGTATTCCATTCCCCTAGGTCCAGTGATTGCCTCAAGGGGGACATGTGGCTAAAGTCTTCTCTTTGGGGACTCTTCAGTTTCTAGCTGATGTAGAAGATGCTTTTCTTACTAGCTGTTGGAGCTAGAACGGCAGGTAGCTGGAGCTGCTCGTGAAGTTTTACTACCATGTGGAGATTGCCTATATGTGGGCAGGGAGGGTAAAACCAAGCCAGGATAAGTGCAGCTGAAAGAGAATCATAGAAAATTTAGGGGGACAGAGTGGAAAGGAGTAAGATGGCAGGAGAGAGGGAGAAAGAGAGACAGAGCATCCACCAATTCTGAACTGAGTCATTCCTGAATACCACTCCACTTACTCTCTTCTTATTTATATAAACCAAGACATTTCTATTTCTCTCAAGCTGGTTTGTGTTGTGTTTTTGTTTCTTGAAATCAAAAGAGACCTAAATAATACATGAACCGTGCTGGGCAAAGCCACGCAGAAGCTATAGTGTTGCTGCACATTTGCCAGTATCATTGACTCTACAAATGCCACAGAGCCTGTGCTTTGTTCAGCTGTAAAGTTGGGGACTATCCTGCTCCCCTCAGCTTTGTGTGGCACAGGTTCCAGAGAAGAGCTGCCCCTCCAGCATCTGACTGGGATTTTAATAGAAAGACTCTTCGTTCTTACTTGGCCCCTTCTCTCCTTCAGGTTCAAGCATATGACTAGAGGAACCAGATCAGAAGATGACTTGAGGGACAAGCTCCGTGTAGTATCCAATCCCAAACTCCCAAGCTATTAATCATAGCTCTTTTCCTTTTTAATTTTTAGCTAATCCCTTTTGAACAGGACACTCATATTTCCTATTTTGTATTTTTCTTTCTCAAAGAGGGGCCTCATATTATTACCTTTACAGCTTCAACCAACAATCCTTTCTTAGGAAGAGTGAGAAACAGAGTGAGGGTAGCCACAGGGAAAGAAGGAAACATTTGCCACAGAAAAGCAAAGTGCAGAAATGTCAGCTTTATTTCATCTGATCTAGACTCTTAATCCAGAGAAGCAGGCTGCTGAACAAAGTCAGAAAAACAAAGAGAATAATACCAGATGAAGAACTATGAGCTACACGCTTTCTCTCTGAGCCATGTCCATCTTGTGCTAGGGTATCTTCTCCCTCTGAAGGAGAAACAACAGAAGATGAAAGGAGATAACCCACTGGGACAGGAACACAGTAGACTTTAGGATTCTGAAAGTGATTACTGGAATTAAAACCATAGCTTACTAGCTCCAGCCTCTCTCCCACAATATTCTTGAGCTAACTGCATATTCAAATATAACAGCCTCGTTAACAATATGATATTCAGACAGGTTCAACATGAGACCTTTCCTTAGATGTTACAGAACAGCAGAAAAGAAGCACAGCAAGTAAATGGCAAATGAAAAATTCACATAAGTGCAGTGATTTCTCCTATATGCAAGGGAATTAGACAATTCTTGGTTTCTAAATATCATTTCCCAGTAAAAGGAACTAGTCTCTTTGAGAAACGATTGATAAAGGTTTGGGTGAGAGGAGGAACCAGGTGAGTGAATGTACTAGAAAGCAAGGAAGTGCACAAAGACTGATGGAGGCATTGAGGGGCTCCTACTTCCCAACTTTGAGGAATTTAAATATCTAAAACAATGTTTACATGGATTTTACCACATGGAACAACAACAACAAAAAGTTTCCAAGTCCGTAGACAAGGAGAAAGGGAGGGAGAGGGATGGTTTATTTTTACAGAGGAAGGCTCGATCAAAAATGTGCAATTCAGGGGACCGGCCCCGTGGCCGAGTGGTTAAGTTCGTGCACTCTGCTTTGGCAGCCCAGGATTTCGCCAGTTCGGATCCAGGGCACGGACATGGCATCGCTCATCAGGCCATGCTGAGGCGGCATCCCACATGCCACAACTAGAAGGACCCACAACTAAAAATACACAGCCATGTACTGGGGGCCTTTGGGGAGAAAAAGGAAAACTAAAATCTTTAAAAATTATATATATATATATATATACAATTAAAATGGGGCTGGCCCCATGGCCCAGAGATTAAGTTCTTGCACTCTGCTTCAGGGGCCAGGCGTTTTGCTGGTTCAGATCCTAGGCACGGACATGACACCGTTCATCAAGCCACACTGAGGTGGCATCCCACATAGCACAACCAGAGGGACCCACAACTAGAATATACAACTATGTACTGGGGGGGGCTTTGGGAAGGAAAAAAAAAAGGAAGATTGGCAGCAGTTGTTAGCTCAGGTGGCAATCTTCAAAAAAAATAAATGCTATTAATGACAAAATTACAAAATCACCTTTTTTGCAATCACTGATATAATAATTTATTCAGGCAGGGATCATCGTCATTGCTCTAGCCATTGGGTGAAAGTTAGTTGTTGAATTGAATATTTATATATTCTCAAAGTATTTTTTTAATAATGTACAAATCTAACGAGGACCACCTTAATCAAATGATTAAACTCAGCATCCCTCTTGACATGACATGATGAGAAATATACAATGTTAACTACTTTATTCTGAGAAAAATGTCTAAACTCAACGTATTCGTAAGGAAATATTCAAACAAATCAAAATTATAAGATATTTTATAAGACAACAGTCCCAGATTCTTTAATAAAAAAAAGTCATTATCATTTGAGACAAAAAAATTAGGAAAGGGAACAGATATGAATAAAAAGACACTAAAGAAACATGATAACTAAATTCAATGTGTGAGTCTTGAATCAATTCTGGATCAAAAAAGTGGTAAGCAGCTACAAAGGACATTATTTTAGCAATCTGGGTAATTTAAATATATCAGATATCTATTGCTATGCAACAAACCCAACCCCAGTGGCTTAAAAAATAATCTATTGTTTCTCAGGCTTCTATGGACTGGTTGGGTGGTTCTTCTGTTGATGTCGCCTGTACTCACTTGAGCAGCTGCAGGGACCGCTGGATGGCTGGGCGCCTCCTTTCACATGCTCTGTTATTCTCAAGGAGGCCAGTCTGGGCTTCCTCTGGTACAGCGGCCTTCCAGGAGGGCAGGACACCAAGTGCATAGGCTTATCTGGTCTCTGCTTGCCGCAGGTTCCCTTGTTGATGTTTCATGACTCTGGAGAGTGGGATGAGAGGTTCATAGGGGCCATTAATGGGATAATCAACCACAGATATATATTAGACAATAGTTTTGGATCAATGTTAAATATTTTGGATGTGTTAATAATACTGTGGTCATGAAGGACAATATCTAATCTTAAGCAGTAAAGGCTGAAGCAGTTAAAGGTAATGTAATGTAATGACTTAAGTCATGATTGGTGGAATTTGCTTTCAGGTACTTTAGGGAGAAAGGAAGGCGGGAGGGAGGGAAGAGAGGGAGAGAGAGAGGAGCAAAGAGAGCAAAGTGTTAACAATTATTAGAGTTAGATGAGAGTATACAGGTGTTTATATTACCATCCTTTCAAATTTTCAAACCTGGGTTTGTTGTACAAATTTTCAATAGGTTTGAAACTTTGCAAAATAAAACTTGGTGGAGTTTAAAAGAACCCCTGGTGACCTTGTAAAAAGCAAGCCCACCCCTTTTCGACCTTTGAGATCCTACACTCAGTAGGTCTCAGATCTGCTTGTGTAACAAAGACTAAGGTGACTCTATGAGTCCATGGTCCATACTTTTAGAAACACTACACTACACTAGAAAAACTAAAATGGGCAAATACACCTTCTAAATTACAAGGAGGACAGAAGGTCAGAAAATACAGATTATATAGAGAGAGAGATGGAAAAAATGGAAGTTATTAAAAATGAAAAGATAACAAAATAAGATGGAAGAATGAAAACCAAATACAGTGTTTATAAGGATAGCTATAAATAGAATAAACTCATTTGTTAAATAAAAAGACTCTTACATTGGATCAAAAAGCAAAACTCAGTTATGTGCTGCTTACAAGCAACTCATGAAAAGTTAAGTGAAAAAAAGGCATTCAAAAGACAAAGGGTGGATTTTATAAAGAAAAATTTTACCTTCTGTAATGAAGATATAACTGGAATAAATCTTTCTGAACTAAGTAATATAACATGAGAATTCAAGAAGTAAACCCACAGTAAATACAAAAGGAAATTAATAGAAAAATAATACTTTCAGGAAACATTAATGGACAGATTAAATTAAAAAATAAATATTTGGTTTAAAGGGTGTGAAAAAGACAATATAAGGTTGATTTAATACGTACATGCTGAATTTAATAACCTGAGAACAGTCATGGCATCTTATTTTCAAGCTTCCATTAATTTACAATTTACAATTGTAAATTGTAATTTACAGTCATTTATAGAATCGATTCTATCTTAGTGCATAAAAACTGCTTCAATAAATTTTAATAAATACAAAGAATATAGATTACATTAATTATATGAAAAACAAAAATTATAAAAATAAAATTTAAAAACTTTAGCCACCTGGAAATTTTTAAATGCTATCTTCATTATTCTTGTGTCAAGTAGGATATTGAAACAGTGCAGAATATCTAGAAAAATGAAAATTAAAACTATAGATATCAAAACTTGTGTGACTTGTCTACAACTATATTCACAGAAAAATTAATAGACTTAAGTACTTAGAAAAAGAAATAGAATAAAACATTGAATTAATAATTTAACTCAGACTAAAAATAAGGAGGATTTAAATGATTGAAATACAAAAGTTAGATAAACAGTAGAATTGATAAATAAAACCAAGAATTAGTACTTTAAAACAATAATAATAAAATAGAAAAACACTCAGTAGCACAACCAAAACACTAAAAAAATGTGCAAGGATATTGAGTGCTCTTGAATAGGAAGAGTTAATATTTGAAAGATGTCAATTGTCCCTGAAGCAAATTTACAAATTCAGGGGCTGGCCTCGTGGTGCAGCAGTTAAGTTTGCATGCTCCGCTTTGGCAGCCCAGGGTTTGCCAGTTCAGATCCCGGATGTGGACCTACACACCACTTATCAAGTCATGCCTTGGCAGACATCCCACATATAAAACAGAGGAAGATGGGCACTGATATTAGCTCAGGACCAATCTTCCTAAGGAAAAAAAAAAAAGAAAAATAAGAGGATTGGCAGCAGATATTAACTCAGGGCTAATCTTCCTCAAAAAAAAAAAATTACAAATTCAGATGCTATCCAATCAAAATACCAACAGATGTGTTGTTGCTGTTGTGTTTGTTTGCTTCAAACTTGATAGACTTAATCTAAATTCATCTTGAAAAGTAAACATTTAAGAATAGCCTGGAATAACATGAAAGAGAAGAGTAATAATAGTGGGCAAGCTAAATAATTTTAAGATACATCATTAAGACACAGTAATTACGATCCTATGGTTCTGGTACAAAAAATGATTCTGTAATCCAGAGATCGATTCAAGTGCCTACAGGAATCTGGCATACATTTAAAACATTTCAGACACTGAAGAAAAGCAGAATTATTCAACAAATAGTACTGGAATAGCTTACGAGGTGTTTGAAAAAAGAATATAGGTAAATCTTCGCTCCTTACTCTAAAATTAACTCCACATGGATTAAAAATTTAAACATAAAACATAAAAGTAAAAGTGTTAGAAAAAATAATAGAGATTAAAAAAATTATTATTGAGAGTGTGACCAAAGTCTGTTAAAGGGAACATTGGATACACTTCACCATATAAGGATTAAATGTATGATAATCATCAACAAAAACAAAATAAAAAGTAAGCTGGGAAAAATATTTACCAAAAATTACACCACAGGCAAAGGGGTTAATTCCTTTAATATACAAAGGGATCCTATGAATTATAATTTTAAATCCCAAAACTTCATAGAAAAAATTGTCAAGAGATATGCAAAAGAAGAAAAGTCATAAGAAAGGCAATACACGTAGAAACCAATTGATCCATTCTGCTCACAAACTCACACACACTTAGACACACTTACATGCTTAGATGCCGTTTTAATCACATCACATTGGGAGATAATTAAGAAACTAATAAACATTATTTTGGCAAGTATGGAGAATCTAGTAGCAGGGTGAAAATTTAGTCACAACTTTGGCAGAGCTTTATGGCAATATCTACCAAAATTTAAAATGTGTATCTATCTCGTAATGCAATAATTGAACTAGGAATATGCCTTGTAAACATGTACACATAAGTGCATAAAAATACATATGCAAAGTTATTAATGGCAGCATTTTATTTATTTATTAACATACAGCAAATACCCTAAAGACCTCATGTGTATGTGTGTGTAAGAGAGAAATTGAGAGATTGGGAGAGAATGAATCAAGGTGCTATTTAATTTTCAGTGTTTTCATTGTTTTTAAAACAAACTTGTTTTATTGATAAACAAATCAACCTACTTAAACAAAATCTATGTCCATTCCAGGGAGAATTTAGATGGACATCCTAAGCTACACTTAAAAAAAGAACCACATTTAAATTCGGGCCAAGTGGTTAGGTTCACGCGCTGTGCTTCTGTGGCCCAGGGTTTCTCGGGTTCAAATCCTGGGCGCCGACATGGCACTGCTCATTAAGCCATGCTTGGGCGGCATCCCACATGCCACAACTGGAAGGACCCACAACTAGAAATATACAGCTATGTACCGGGGGCCTTTGGGGAGGAAAAAGGAAAAAAATAAAATCTTTAAAAAAAAAAAAAGAGAACCAGAATCTTGTTCTTTAAAGAACTTTTTAATGTAGTTTTAAACTCCGAGCGACATGAATAGCAATTTATGTTGATTAGCTTCTCTCTCTCTTGGGCAAGTAAACTGCGTAAGAATGCACCATTTTGGCCCTGCTGGATATCCCAGAGCCTTTTCTGAAAAGCTTGCCTGAATGAACAGTAAGTCAAACAGTTGGGGCTGCAGAACCCAGTAAAAATCACACAAGAGCTTAGGAAAATTACGTTTTCTTCCTTTGATTTATGATCTTGAAACATTTTTTCAGGAGGATAAATCAATCCCGCAAAGCATCGAAGTTAAGCAATAATTAGACATTTAGAATTTTTGCAACAGCCATAGAAAAGAGATCCACATGTACATAAAATAGCGCAGCATGGAGAGAGAGCCTGGTTTCTGCCAAAAAACCCCTCCTACATCAAAGTGCCCATACCAAGTTGCCTTCCCAAATTCCCCTCCCAATAAAATGCACAAAAATCTATTGGAATACATTGTGAGATTTAGTTTGATAGATATTTTCGTAACACATATTTAAGAAATATGTCACATTTCCATATTAAAGTTGATGGTTTTATTACCAAGACAACACATATAAGTGCTTTTAAATTTCACCTGAGGGTCTCAATAGAAAGCCTCACAATGAAGATAAGTGAAGAGACAGGACTCTAAATGATTTTTGTTGTGTAAATGAAGATTCCGGAAAATATTTCAGCTTATGATTCGAGCATGTTAGACGTGTCCAACTTTCCTATCTCCGTGGAATTTGTTTCACGGTAATTTTCCACTAGGCATTTCAGAGCTAAAATAAACATCAGGCTCGTTTGCTGCCCCACTTTGACGTCAACCATTACCTTAGTGAAACATCATTCTGAACCCAGGAAACAGGAACTGAGGACCCAGCTTTCTCAAGCCAGTCTACCAGTGCTGGTAAAACCCTTGGAATCCATATTCAGAGTCCATCCAATTATAGCAAATGATTACTTCATAGCCTACTGGGAAAACATTCCAGGCTCTCGGTTCCAAAAAGTTCTTCAAAAATAACAGGGCAAACAGTCCCAGGTCTCTGTGACCTACGATGTCTAGTGAAGCCGAAGAATTATTAGAACATCTTAGAGAAACCTGAGGCCATTCGACCCAATGATTTAGTAATGATGTCTCTGTCATTGGGTCAGAGAATAACGTGGTCACTAGTTAGTATTTATTCAGTAACATTCACCAGAGCTGGTAGCACTGGCTGTGAGAATTTTGTCCTGAATATTCTAAAGCAACACAGTCTTCTGTTTAAATAACTATAAAAAGGGATTTATTTTCTGATGTGTTCAACTTCTAGGAAATTAAAACGATAAGCTCCACATAATAAAGTCAAAAAGTAATGAATACCCAATGACTAAAAAGCAGATGTCAGATTGGGAAGTAGACTGATACAAATGAGATGTTAGATAGATAATAGTTTTCTCTCTTAGTTCAGATTTTAAAAGTCTATAAATAGCAAAGTATAGTCATTTCAGAGGAAAGATACAGCGTGGGGGAAAAGAGAGAAAGCCCAAACTTTAAAAAGTTTACATTTTTTTTTTAGCATAAAGACTATCGTAATTAAACCTACACTGGCCTCTGGTGGTCAAATTTGTAAATGTATTTATACAGATACATTGAATGAATGATTATTTAATATACATCACCAACTAAAGGTTAGGCAACCAGATACCTCACTTTGACTGTTGCATTTTAACCAACTCACCCGACTGCATTTCCTCTAATTATTAAAGTTGAATAACTCCTCTTTGGAGAGGTCCCCATTCTTTGAAACTTTTCAACTTACTGCAGGGGCCATCAGCAGTAAGTTGTATCAGATGATCCTACTTATATACTTGGGATTTGGGTATTCATGCTTGTTACAACTTACGCAGAAATAACAGGAAAGCATATTTTTCTGGATTTCTTATATTGAATTTTAAGAAATTTCTTACACTACTGAATTATTTAATGCCTGATATTATCATACATGTTAAAATGAAAATTTTAGGAACACAGACATATTACCATTATAGAATATCAGGATTTATTTAGTTTTTTTTTTTTTAGGAAGATTAGCCCTCAGCTAACATCTGCTGCCTATCCTCCTCTTTTTGCTGAGGAAGACTGACCCCTGAGCTAACATCCGTGCCCATCTTCCTGTACTTTATATGTGGGACGCCTGCCACAGCATGGCTTGCCAAGCGGTGCCATGTCCTCTCGGGATCCGAACTGGCGAACCTCGGGCCACCAAAGTGAAATGTACGTACTTAACAGCTGTGCCACCAGGCTGGCCCTTAGAATCTAGCAACCATTCCCAGTGCTTTTGGGGGCTTACTGTGTGTAAACGTTACACACATCTTACAGTACTGATCCTTAAGAGAAAAAAGGATCTGTAATTCATTACAGCTTTAAGAAATAGAACATTTTTATTCCAAGTTTACTTGGAATAATTTTTCTATCTAGAGAAAATCGAAGCCTGCATTCAAGCAAGGTTTTCTTGGTTGTGTAGTTTTAACATCATCTTGGATAATTTTACAGGGGAGCCAATAGAATTTCTTTTCACTAATGTACACCTTGAGGCTCAAAAAATAATGCAGAAAAATGTATAAATAATTTTATTTGACTCCTCTTTTTATTCTAATCATAAAACATCCTTTTAACTAGGGGAGATATGACAGAAATTATGTTTTACTTTTGTTCTTCCTCATAATTAGAGGATTTAACATGGTTTTCTGTTATACTTTATAGTTTTTATCTACCATATTAATTGGATGTGAGCTATTATTAAAAGACAGTGAAATTGTAAATTGCCTTGAATTTTAACATCTTAATTTTTTCTCAAATAAATTGTGTCTTTCAATGTGAAAACTAAACACCAAATGAGGCCTTTAGGATTTGGTTTGTTTTAATTCATTCAGTAAACACATCTTGTGTATGTATTTCATAAAAATATTGTGTTGGCTCCCTGAATCAGTGAGGGGAAACTACAGCGATAAATCAGAAATGTGCCTTGAGATTAAGATGCTTGTAGCTTTGAGGAGAGACGAGAAGCATCTGTGATAACGAGAGTAGAAGGTGGAAGGTGAGGAAATGGGTAAGTACTGGAGGAGAAGTTTGAGATGGGAGGGCAGATGAGGTAAAGTTTCAGCAAAGAAATGACATCCAAGGGACTAGCCAGGTGGCGCAGTGGTTAAGTTTGCATGTTCTGCTTCGGCAGCCCAGGATTCACT